TCATAAAGTGAAGACAAAGAGACGTGTCACGCCGTAGCCCGGCCAGTCACAAAACTCGTTTTCAAAGCTTCTCTGATGCGCACCGCGCCCTGCTGTACTCTTCTAACCGCCCTGGTGTCTGGCTGCACGTAATCAGCGGCCAGGCGATTTGCCTCAACCTCCCACCCCGCCATAAATGTCTCCCCCTTACTTTCACAGAGATTGTGGAGCGCACAGCAAGCAGCAATAACAATGGGGATATTGGTTTCGCTGAGGTCTATCCGAATCAGTAAGCTGCGCCAGCGCGCTTTTAAACGTCCAAATGCACATTCCACCACCATTCGGCACTTGCTCAGCCTATAGTTGAACAGGTCCTGACTACTGCCCAGGCTGCCTGTGTACGGCTTCATGAGCCATGGCATTAAGGGGTAGGCTGGATCCCCAAGGATAACAATAGGTATTTCAACATCCCCAACGGTTATTTTCTGGTCCGGGAAGAAAGTCCAGCTTTTGAAACAGACCAGAGTGCCTGAAGACGCGAGCATCATGTACCTTTCCCGGCCATCCCACGTTGATGTTAGTGAAACGTCCCTTGTGATCCACCAGGGCTTGCAGCAGCACTGAAAAGTACCCCTTGCGGTTTATGTACTCGGTGGCTTGGTGCTCCGGTGACAAGATAGGGATATGGGTTCCGTCTATCGCCCCACCACAGTTTGGGAATCCCATTGCAGCAAAGCCATCCACTATGACCTGCACGTTTCCCAGAGCCACTACCCTTGATATCACCAGGTCTTTGATTGCCCTGGCAACTTGGATCACAACAGCCCCCACAGTAGATTTGCCCACTCCAAATTGATTCCCGACTGACCGGTAGCTGTCTGGCATTGCAAGCTTCCACAGGGCTATCGCCACTCACTTCTCAACTGTGAGGGCTGCTCTCATCCTGGTATTCTGGTGCTTCAGAGCAGGGGAAAGCAAATCACAAAGTTCCATGAAAGTGCCCTTACGCATGCGAAAGTTTCGCAGCCACTGGGAATCGTCCCACACCTGCAACACGATGCAGTCCCACCAGTCTGTGCTTGTTTCCCGGGCCCAGAATCGGCGTTCCACAGCATGAACCTGGCCCAGTAACACTATGATTTGCACATTGCTGGGGCCTGTACTTTGTGAGAGGTCTATGGCCATGTCAATTTCCTCATCACTCTCGTCGTTGCGCTGCAATCGCCTCCTCGGCTGGTCCTGGTTTTGCTTTGGCATGTCCTGGCTCTGCATATACTCCATGACAATGCGCGTGGTGTTCATACTGCTCATAATTGCCGCGGTGATCTGAGCGGCCAGTGCTATGGCGTCTGGTCTGAAAAAAGGCGCGAAATTGACAGAGGGAGGGGCGACTGACGACATGGCATACAGGTACAGGGAATTAAAATCAACAAAAGTGGCTGTGCATCAGGGAGAAACACAAACAACTGTTACACAGAATGTCCCCCCAAAAGATTGAACTTAAAACCCTGGGTTAGCAGGCCATTGATTTCACGGAGGGAGGGGGAAGCAAATGAATACAGAACAAATCTGGTCCATCTATTTTTTACATCTTAAGCTGGCAGCAGACGGTGCAGCATGACTGATAGCCATCGGCATCTTCTGGGTGCTTGGCAGAAAATGATGTGCTACGACTGATAGCCATCATTGTCAAGAATCAGATGCCCAGAGTGGAAAGTTTGGTGCAGTATTTCTTAGAGGAATCTGCTGAAGAACTTTCCCGGGTGTCTCTGATTGAACTCACTGAGGAGTACGACGACGACAGATACCAATCGTAATACACAATCTACTGCCAAAAGGCAAGGAGCTGCTGCTGTGTAGCAATGCAGCCCCACGTCTGCCAGCACCCAGATAGCCGATGACGGCTACCAGTCATACTGCACCGTCTACTGCCAAAAGACAATTAGCTGCTGCTGTGTAGCAATGCAGTACCACGTCTGCCGGCACCCAGATGACATATGGTGACGGTGAACTGAGCTGAGCTGAGCGGGCTCCATGCTTGCCGTGGTATGTTGTCTGCACAGGTAACCCAGGTAAAAAGGCGTGACTTGATTGTCTGCCGTTGCTCTGACAGCGGGGGAGGGGCCTGACGACATGTACCCAGAGCCCCCCGCGACACTGTTTTTGCATCATCAGGCATTGGGATCTCAACCCAGAATTCCAATGGGCGGCGGAGACTGCGGGAACTGTGGGATAGCTACCCACAGTGCAACGCTCCGGAAGTCGACGCTAGCTGAGTTAATACACTTAGGTACTGTGGACGCGGTTCGCCGACTTAATGCACTTAGAGCATTTTATGTGGGGACACACACAATCGACTGTATAAAACCAATATCTATAAAACCGGCTTCTATAAATTCGACCTAATTTTGTAGTGTAGACATACCCATAGACTAACAGACATATTGGAGCATAAGCTTTTGTGGGTGAATACTCACTTCGTCAGATGAGTATTCACCCACGAAAGCTGATGCTCCAATACGTCTGTTAGTCTATAAGGTGCCACAAGACTCAAAACAAAAGAAAAATCCTTTGTTCCTTGTATAAACATGCAGAGAACGGGTATTGCACAGGAGCATGGAAAACATTGACTTCCATAGTTTTAACTGAGAGTTCAAACTTAAGTCTGAAAGAAGTCCATGGTTGGATCCATCTATTTATGTTTACAGATTATTATCCTGCTTAAGTTTCTGTCCTGGGGTAGGTGTCCTTTGTAAGGATTCACCTTGCCACAAAAGGAGAGAGAAAGGGTGGAAAGTGTATTTTAAAGGTAACTGCAAGAGGGCTAGGTATATTCAAGGAAAGGTGGAACTACCTCCTCCTACACACACACACACACACACACACACACACGTCAATGAAAAAAGTGTATTTAATTCCCTGAAAAGTAGAATTACCCATTCTTCTAACCAAAGGTCATTATCAGGAAGTACACTCTGCTGCCAACCTGGCACTACTGGGAATTGTGCATGAGCAATGAAGACAGGATAGGACCCAAATGAGGACATGCTTATAACTACCAAAGGTCAATTAAGTATCTTGACTGAGGAGGGAAAAAAAGAGATTTATTGTTTGTTGTTTTTTCCTCACCAATATTCCACATGAGGATGGACTACAAGCTGTCAGGAACAGTATCCCTGATGAGGCCACAGCAAGCCTGGTGGCTGAGCTTTGTGACTTTGTCCTCACCCACAACCACTTCAGATTTGGGGACAACTTATACCTTCAAGTCAGTGGCACTGCTATGGGTACTCA